CGCAGAGCGGGGTCGGCGGATTCACATGCAGTTAAGCCAGGGCATTTCAGGACAAACCCCCAACATGCCAATCAGTGCGCACCCGCGCTTGTCTGGTGGAGGTGCACAACCAAATCAGCATGGCCCAGCATGGTTTCATAGGCAAATGAACTTGCGGGTCAGTGAACCATGGACCACCTTCGTGGCGGGTGCCATTTGCAAGTTCCATGAGCATTTGCATCGCCCGAAAGGTGCTCATGGGCAGCTTTTAGTAAGTCTTTGCTACACGCACGTTCTCTCATCTTGTAACAGCACCCAAGTTAAGGCCTCAGGCCGCAAGTCAAGGTTTTTTGCACGACTGCATGTTGCGACGAGCACAAGCCGAACCTCATGTTGTAGTCTGGAGAGCTCGTAGATGAAGCGAGCTAATGAAGCTGGAAATTCTAAATAGGAAAACACATTGCAAGTGTGTTGCGTGAATATCCTGCTGGCCAACACAGTTGTCAATCAAGCCTGGCCACAAAATACTAGGTAATCTTTGTTGCCTTCTCGTTTTGCGCGTGGTGGGGGTCTGAAGCCCAATCCAACGTTGGAAGCTCTAGTGGAGTAATCTCGGAGTCCTCAAGGCTCGCAGGAACTGGCGAGCAGTGAGCTGGCCAGAATTATCAAGCTCCATGGCCCTCAATCCAAAAAGGCACTGCCCCTAGACAGACCCCCGTCTCACATCCATATTGTGATCTGCGCTGCAGGAGACATTGAATCTGGATCCATCTTTGGTGACTCGGAGCGATGGCTAAGTCACGCATATGTCAGAGCTAGGGGGGTTTGAGACAAGCAAGCAGGCAAAGTTGCAAGGGTTGGGTTACCGTGAGCCTGCTGAATATAAGACGGTCGTCGACTTCTGTGGGACACTTTCAGCTGGACAGTCCAGAAAGCAACAGCGCAAACTTGCTTTCACCATCACCTATGCGTCAAAGCGACCCCCTGTTGTAAGTCCGACATATCAAGAAATTGGAACTTATCCCACTTCGAGCCAAGATGCGGTTGAAAGCTTGAGCTGAAAGCATTCCAAAACAATTGCAAGAGCTAGGGAATTAATTGCAGTGTGCAACCTTGGAATGGGAGACGAGCAGTCCGCGGCTGTTTCAGCGCACCCGAAAAGTTTGAAGCATTGAAGGTGTCGCTTGATCTCGGCTTCGTCAGCAACCAGGCCCGCTCGCACAACATCTGTTCAGGTTCCAAGCTTGCGGAATTTCCCGAGCGCACAAATGCTCTTGTGCTTGGGGGTGTTTGCCAGGCGAGGAGAATTCAGACCACTTTGGATCAGCCAAGCTGACCGCTATCTGACAGTGAAATTGCTGATCCAGGAAGAAGAGCTGGACTCGCCCTCCTACCCTGGCCTTCAGACGGTTTATCGAGCCACGGCTGCGAAGCTGTGTTTCATTCTACACTGCTGAAGTTGCCACAACTGCTGCAGGGGCGTTGGATTACGCTCTCATACGCTCTCTCTGCCTGCCCACCAGCTGCTGCAACCTGCAAAAATGCCAGTTCCTCCTGCTATGTCCTGCGTAAAGCATTCCTTGAGTTTGCCGTTTGCTCCTGTTGTTGTCTGGACCTCACCTTTGGGCTTTGTGCCGAGTGCCTGATGTCAGCCACAGTACCTAGCCCCTCAAAGGGGCATCTCACTACCAAGCGGGATGTTCAACGTGTCTCGAAGAGAAATTTGAGCCCAAACATCTCTCAGGAGGTTCCCAGAAAAAGTGCTGCACGACTGATTAAGCTAAGACCTTCAGACTCCTGTAGACTGCAGACCAGCAACCATGCACCACAGCATCTGTGCTGGAAACGAAGTCTGAAACAGCTGCCTATCTCAGGAAAGGAGATCGTGAGGGGCAAGGTCACAACCAAGGCCGGGTGCAGCAATGCTTCCAACATGGGTCCCCACGTTGACCAAACCAGACGCCAGCGGCTTGTGCAGGCAACGAAGCAATCCGGTAGTCAGGGAAGTCCTTTTCTTGAGGAGAGTTTCTGTCAGAGGGCTCCAGCTTCTAGATGATACAGTATCTCAGCGTATCACCGTGCTGAAGTACAAGCCAGTGAGGCTTCTGGTGGGGATGGGTTTTCACTTCCTACGAGAGCTGCAAGAGGATCCGGAGCTGCAGAAGAAGTTCGGTCTTGGACCGCATGCCGATGGCTGGCGTGCCACGGAGAGAGGCTGCACCAGGCCTGATCAAACCGCTTTTGGGGGTCACAGGCACATAAAAAA